CAGGATGTCTAGCCCATTGACTTAAATGAGAATGGGAGGGAGAAGAAAGGGATCAAAGTCAGTCCCTTGTATTCCCAGCAATCACCACATCAAGGCCCTTCAAATGAAATGACTCTCTGGCTCGCTACCGTTTCAAAATGCTAATGTCTGTGTTTGAGGAGCAAAGTGCACAAGCATTACATTCTGAGACATAGAACTAGGCTAATGCTCAAGAAGCAGTTGTTTCTTGCAGTGGATTTAATGGGGAAATACCATTGAGGCTATTCGTTTTTTTTATAGCCTGAATGAGGAAATGCAGTGCGGTAGAAAAAATCGGATGAAGAACACAAAGCCTCTGTGTTCTTTTTTAAAATTCCCCCAAATCTTGTGGTGGATTTGCATCATTAGTTAATGTCAGGGGCAAAACTGGATTCAGGATAATGGAGCACAGATGCCGTTGACCAAGAATCAGTCAGTGGCTCCCCAAACAGCCCTGAAGCCAAGATTGATGGAGGGAGGGAGGGAGGGAGAACGAGAGAGAAAGAGAGAAAGAGAGAGAGAGAGAGAGAGAGAGAGAGAGAGAGAGAGAGAGAGAGAGAGAGAGAGAGAGAGAGAGAGAGAGAGAGAGAGAGAGAGAGAGAGACCATCTGATTCTTCCACCACAGCACACCTCAGCCAGATAATAGGCCAAATAAACAAAACAGCTTCCACATGTCTGCAAGGCCATGGCATAAAAACTCACATACACACACGCACACTTTCTGGGCAATCATCTAATGCCCATTGGTTTGCCACAAACCCTTGTCTAAATACAATGCTTCTGATTTTGAACAAATATCTCCTTATTGCCTAAATCTTAAGGCCAGGTGATGGATGTTTCCAGCGATCTAACACTTCACTACACACACCTGTTATTACAATTAAGTGTGGGGCTATGGCATGGCAAAGTTGCATCAACACTGTGAGAGACGCTCAGCGTTCAGCCCAGTGCTTAGCCCAGAGCTCAGCCCCGCGAACCACCACTCCATCCAAGCTGTTACATAACACAGAAAAGTGTTTTTACATTTTCTTCTTGTAAGGCTCTGGAATATTTTAAACAACCTCCAGACCTGCTGAAAGGCCTGTATCTCTGCCAATCCAAATCTGGCTGGGCTATCTGTCTAATCTGACTGAAGTCCTTTCTCTGGGTAACTTCAAAACTTATTTTTTCATTTTCTGCAACTTTTTATTAGCTTCTGGCAGCCGTCGAGTGTGCATGCAGCTCTGTCTCGGAAAACACCCGGCTGGGAAGGCAACAGGAGAGGAGAATGGCCTTTAGAAGGCCCTGCGGTATTAATATATGGTTTTGTCCTTGTGTACCCTGTAACTAAAGCACAGCACCACTTTATGATGTGGATGGGAGACTGGTGAACACACACCTCAAATAGCAGCATCCCCAGAATAAGGACCATAGTTCAGTAGGAACAACAATGCCAGGCATTGGCACCAGAATGGCCAAAGCAGCGCAAGGGCAAAAGCGTGGAGAGGGGAGCTAGAGACAATACTGGATCTGACGTAGAAATTCCAACACCCAGTTGAGTTCGCCTCCATCCCTAATATAACATTGCATGGTATTCAGCTTTATTAAGAGAAGCTAGCCTGTGTGTCTATATTAAGGGGAGAAAGACGGTCTGCTAATAGGCACAGAAACATACTTGGAGCCATTGCTAATGTATTGTTTCCATTACATGGGACTATACTTTGACCTCTTTCAGTATCTTGTTACTGGGTTGAGGTTTTACGAGGGTGGTGGCGAGGTAGGAGAGAGGCCTCTATTGGGGAAGGTTAACCAGGAGTATGGACCTCAAACAGAGGAGGAAATCCGGTTAAGTTTAAGTGTGTTTCCTCTAACATAACAGTGTGTTTCAACACGTTTTAGATGAGGTAAAGCCACTGACGTACCATTAGCATGAAACAGCACATATAAAATCACTGGCTTTTTAAATTCACATATAAACTGTTAACAAGCCACACTTAGACAACTGCCATAGCTGAAAATGCAAGGCTGACGTGTTCATTATATTAAATATGGATTCCTACATAAAAAGCTTTCATGCCATTATGCACCTCATAAAATGACTCTCGTAATCGTTTAATGGTTTAGGTTTCATTATCAAACATCTTGAAGTGATAAGTGTAAGCAATGTGCCCCTGTTGGAGTATCCAAGGCTGGTAATAGTGCAGTTCTCTGTAGATTGTTACTTCATGCCCACGCCCCTGCCCACAAAAACGGCAAACAATATCGATTTTTCTGATTTCCAAAAGCAGGAAGTAGAATGAGCACAATAGCGCCTACATTTACATTTTAGTCATTTAGCAGACGCTCTTATCCAGAGCGACTTACAGTTAGTGAATACATTTTTTTTTTTTTTATACTGGCCCCCCGTGGGAATCGAACCCACAACCCTGGCATTGCAAACGCCATGCTCTATCAACTGAGCTACATCCCTGCCGGCCATTCCCTCCCCTACCCTGGACGACGCTGGGCCAATTGTGCGCCGCCCATGAGTCTCCCGGTCGCGGCCGGCTGCGACAGAGCCTGGATTCGAACCAGGATCTCTAGTGGCACAGTTAGCACTGCGATGCAGTGCCTTAGACCACTGCGCCACTCAGGAGTAGCCTACTTAACTAACGATGGTATGTACACTTCCTGTAGCAAACCGCTCCATCAAGTCATAGTCACAGCAGTGATTGCAACCCGCACGCCATTAAACTGTAATCAAATCAACGTTCATTTAATGTGACAAGGTCACTTGGAAGTGTGTCCAAGCCTGACATGCTTATTTTCCTCCACAGTTCATCTAGTAAAGAATAGGAAAGCTGAAGAGAGAGAAACTGTTAGAGGTAGTTTGCCGCATAGGCACACCTGCAGTGCAGAGGTTGTGTGGAGAGACATTTGTTTCTATTCATCCAGTCATTCCATCATGTCAATTAAGGAAAACTGACATAAAATATTAAAACCCCTGTCTATGGTCTACAGTATCAAGCCAGATATGAAAAGCCCACCTTGCATTGAAAGATAGCCCCTTGCTTTAATGTTACACGCACACCTGCAGTATGTAGACCTACAAAGGTGAGGAAAGAGGTCAGTCTGGTTTAAGCAGACTGCAAAGACTGACCTGGAACTTACGTAATACCACTTGTAAGAGAAGCCATTCATTGGGGTGAACACCATACTAGGAAAAAATGCTCCAAAGCCATAAAATTGGGAATCGTGTTGGCGTAACAAAAAAAGACCCACAGTCAGCAATAAAAAGCAGAGGGACTGGACTGAAGCTTGCCCCTGCTTCGGGTCTTTGTGTCTGTGTCCATAAACTCAGCTGTGTCCCTGCTAAAGTGGTAAGCGCTCTCACAGCCAATCAGTCAGGCAGGCCATGAGACAGTCCGTGGTGTGAATGGCTTTCTCAGGCCGCGATGGCTTCAGGCAGGCGGTTGGGAACCGAAAGAAAGGACACTCATCTCCGCTGTCAGCCGTTTGATGCCTGACACTGATGTGGGACGTGAATGTAAGTGTGTTGGTGTGTGTAATATCAAAGGGGACAACTGGCTGCGTTGCTGCATTGGCCATTCCAGCATAATGACAAGATCAGATGAAGATACAGAGGAAAGTCAGAGAAGGGAAGAGAAGGCAGATGTAGAGATGACAGAGGGACTGATGGATCAAGGCCAAACCGTATCTGAGACGGGGATGAGGTGGAAAATAGGGAAAAGTAAGGCATATTGGCAGCATATGCTGGACAAGTCACTACTAACGGATGGCTTTACATGAGCTGATTCCTCTCAGCTGTGTGTGTCTCAATGGGTCTCCTCAGCATCCTGGCTTTATTGCTGGAGACGTGTTCATTTAAGGGGGGACGTTTGGGCTGTGGAGGGACCCAACAGCCAGGACTTGTTTCAAAGAGGCCAGCCAGAAAACTTGGAAAGGCACACACACACAGTACACACACAGTATCACGCCACTAGACAAGGTTTCCCTCAGAGAGTGGAGGAATGTGACCTCTGGTACATGGCTCATTGAGAACCACGGGGAATCATCTCTGCTTGTCCTTCCCACTTTCCCTCTCTCCATCACTCTCCCTCTCTTTCTCCCTCCCTCCCTCCACTCCATCTCGCTTTCCCCTTATAGAGACTCCAGCTCATTCCTCGGCTCCTGATTGTTTCAAAATAGATGAGGAACAGGGGGAGAGAGAGTGGAGGAGAGAGAGAGAGAGAGAGAGAGAGAGAGAGAGAGAGAGAGAGAGAGAGAGAGAGAGAGAGAGAGAGAGAGAGAGAGAGAGAGAGAGAGAGAGAGAGAGAGAGAGAGAGAGAGAGAGAGATCAAGCACAGTGCTTTTCCATATGGACCCAGGTCCTTAATGAGACTGGACAGTGTTTCGCTGAGGGCTGCGGAAAAAAAACCTACGTCTAGAACAGGAAACTGAACGTGCTCAGACTGTGGTGTAGTGTTGGTGTAGTGTGACTGCGTTCAAGTGTGTGTGTGTGTGTGCGTGCGTGCAAGTGTGTGTGTGTGTGTGTTATCAGGTGTTCTCACACACATCTGGATGGAGCTCTTCCAGACTGACTGTTGGCACCTAGCTAGCTCGCGGGGGCGGTAAAAGAGAACCAGGCTTGTCTTTGTATTCTGGTGGCACCCAGACAAAGCCAGGAGATCTGGAAACACAGACACCCCAGCGTCAATGCACCGAGATCAGGTGTTCCACCCCAAGACTACTCCCTGGCCTTCAACCACGGCCCACAGAGTGAGACGTAGAAATTCCTCTCACATTCACAGACTCTCAGACAAATTGATGAAAACATGCCGAGGACCCACTCCTCAGACAAGTAGCTCCGCAGACTCGAAAACCGGCTTCCATAAATCTTGTTCTCCCCATTGTAAAACGTGGTGGATCCATTGAGCAGAGCTCTTGAGGTCACTGTTACAGTGTTACAGTGTGGTAGTGGTGCAGTGGTGCAGGTAAGGTTGGGCCCTGCTGGTCATGGCATATGGTGTATTCATGGTGTGGTTCTCCCCATCCAGGGCCCATCAGGAACAGCTCTCTGCTCAGGAAGTGGAGTCAGACAAACAAGAGTAGGAAGCTGGACTACAACATGCTGACCGAGCCACAGCAGACCACAGGTGAGTGAGCTCACTCCTAATACCACCTGGTTGACCTATACAACCTGAGGAGGGAAGACTCATCCAACACTGTATATTCTGCCTCAGATAGAGGGGTTTCCTTCCTTTGATGTACTGAAACTCCCAGGCTTTACACACCCATGGCAAGTGCAGAAAATCGATTGTTACTGTACAGTTTTATTACATACTAGTAACATTTATACAGACAGCCTATCATATTTAGGGGTGAAGTCCATTTCCAGTCCAAGGCCAATGTTGAGACTCTATAGCCCCCCCATCCCTCCAATTCATCAACCATACCCTGCTTCTAATGTGTAATCAATGTTCAGTTCCCACTCAGCACTCACATTCCATTATGCTTACATTCAGTCTCGCTCCTTTGAATGAGTAGTCTGGTGGAACGAGACAATGGCGTTAACCTGCCAGGATCATAGCAGAGCAAACAATAGCATGGAGTTTATATTCACATGAGTGTAGTTTAATTTAAGCAACCATTCATTAAATCCCGTCCAAAGTAATATGTAAGCCAACACACACATTATCCAAGTACAGGAAATTAAAACTAAGTACCTAATGTCACCACAGGGTTGAAAACCACTGGCTTTTGATCACTTTGCAAGTGTTTTTAAATGAAAAGAGAGAGAGAGGGGTCACTACGTCTGTTGAGATTGTCTACCGACAATAGCACACATCCAGACAACGTCCACCAATAGATCACTTCACTTCTCTCTCCATGCCTCCCAAGGGGCTCGTTCCAATGAAGAAATCTATTGTTCAGAGATCGATGGTATGTTGCTAATGCAATGCAGCGAGTTTCTTCACATCTTTGGAAATCCTCAGAGTTGAACATGTGGCAGACAAAAGCTAGACAACGTGCCTCTTTCCCTCCTCCTCATCTGCCATCTGAGTTGGCTTGGAAAAACGCAGGCTCCCCTGGGCGTCTCAACTCAGCAGAAAATGGTAGTAGCAGACTTCTCTTAAACTGTGTAACCTTCCCCCCCGGTTGTGACCCGTATCTCCTTGTCTATGTCTCCCTCCTCCCAATCTGCATGTATGACAGGCGTGACTGAATGGACATCCTGGTTCAACATTGACCATCCAGGGGGGAATGGAGACTACGAGCGGTTAGAGGCCATCCGGTTCTACTACAGGGAGAGGGTGTGTGCCCGGCCTGTGGCCATGGAGGCCCGCACCACGGACTGGGTGGCAGCAGCAGAGACTGGGGAGGTGACTCACTTCAGCCTGGAGAAGGGCTTCTGGTGCATCAACAAGGAGCAGCCCTACGGGCGCATCTGCTCCAACTACTACGTCCGCTTCCAGTGCCCACCAGGTACCCACAGACCACCATACCTCATTCACATGGGTTATAAAGTAGATGTGCTATAATAGCTTTGAGTTCAGGATTCTGAACCCATACTGTGCTTAGGGGATAGTGGAATTTTGTGAAGGGATTAGCCAATTATCCCTGTCACCCCTAGTTACTGTGCTGTATACTGAGTCGAAACAGAACCTCAGTGGAGGTAAGGCCACTTAAGCCATGCATCTGCTGCTCTGTTATGGCCACTAATGATCTGTTAGTCTTTGTTCAACTGTGAAAGTCCTGGACTTATTTTTGCAAACTACAGGCTACGTTACTTACTTAAAGATGCCGTATCTTAATTTGAGCCAGTTTGCTACAGCAGGAGAAGAATCCTGGAGCAACAGGAAAGGTGAATTATGACGTGGATTGATACATTTTTAGTCAGGGCAAATCAAGTCTGACATTTTAAAGTGGAAATTACAATCTTTAGAAGGCTTTTTAAACCTTGAATACACTACACTTTTGCATTTCCTGCTGTGCAGGGAAATTCTCAGCAACAAAAGAGTGATCCAATTAATATACTACATGTGTAATTCTCAGTTCAGGACTGGATTTTAGGTCTGTGACCATTCTACCCATTCTATTTCTGTGTGGATTCCATACTCACCCTTGTCACAATGTCTTGTCTTGTGTGTCCAGTTCAGGCCTACTGGACGGACTGGGCTGTCTGGGGCCCCTGCTCTGCTACAGCCTGTAATGACGTGGGCATTCAGGTCCGTCAGAGGAAGTGTATGAGCATCCAGCCCCTGCCCTTGCTGCTGGTTCCCCCATGCCAGGGGCCCCAGACAGAGAGGAGGGAGTGTGCCACCCTGCCATGTGAAGGTATCCTCACAACACAACTTACACATAGACCTACAGTATACATCTATCTCTCTATCGTAATTGCTCCTCTTTCACCCCAGCTGCCAAACTAACCCTGATTCAGATGACCATCCTACCCATGCTAGATTATGGAGACGTAATTTATAGATCGGCAGGTAAGGGTGCTCTCGAGCGGCTAGATGTTCTTTACCATTCGGCTATCAGATTTGCCACCAATGCTCCTTATAGGACACATCACTGCACTCTATACTCCTCTGTATACCCGTCGCAAGACCCACTGGTTGATGCTTATTTATAAAACCCTCTTAGGCCTCACTCCCCCCTATCTGAGATACCTACTGCAGCCCTCATCCTCCACATACAACACCCGTTCTGCCAGTCACATTCTGTAAAGGTCCCCAAAGCACACACATCCCTGGGTCGCTCCTCTTTCCAGTTCGCTGCAGCTAGCGACAGGAACGAGCTGCAAGAAAACAGTCAGTTTTATCTCCATCTCTTCAAGGACTCAATCATGGACACTCTTACTGACAGTTCTGGCTGCTTCGTGTGATTTATTGTTGTCTCTACCTTCTTGCCTTTGTGCTGTTGTCTGTGCCCAATAATGTTGAACCATGTTTTGTGCTGCTACCATGTTGTGCTGCTGCCATGTTGTGTTGCTATCATGTTGTTGTCATGTGGTGTTGCTACCATGCTGTGTTGTGATGTGTTGCTGCCATGCTATGTTGTTGTCTTAGGTCTCTCTTTATGTAATGTTGTGGTGTCTCTCTTGTCGTGATGTGTGTTTTGTCCTATATTTGTATTTTTAATCCCAACCCCCGTCCCCGCAGGAGGCCTTTTGCCTTTTGGTAGGCTGTCATTGTAAATAAGAATTTGTTCTTAACTGACTTGCCTAGTTAAATAAAGGTTAAATAAAAAATAAATAAAAAAAGACATACCATGCCGATATTGAACATCAAGCCAATCATAATCATTATCATTTTACATAATTAATTCACTACCAAGAGACATTCAGCTGATCAGGGTCATTATTGACATGAAGACAATCACACTAATCTATCCGCTGCCAACAGATTGGAGATGGAGCAGCAGGGACATTAGTGATGTGGCTGTTAATAAATACAGTGACTACGGCCAAAGTAGAGCCAATGGCAGCAGTACATTCTTAGAAAAAAGGGTTAAGCTGTCCCCATAGAATAACCTTTTTTGGTTCCAGGTAGAACCCTTTTTGGTTCCAAGTAGAACCCTTTTGGGTTCTATGTAGAACCCTCTGTGGAAAGGGTTCTACATGGAACCAAAAAGGGTTCTACCTGGAACCAAAAGGATTCTACCTGGAACCAAAAATAGTTATTCAAAGGGTTCTCCTATGGGGACAGCCGAAGAACCCTATTAGGTTCTAGACAGCACCTTTTGTTCTAAGAATGTATAGACTATACATTCTTAGAAAAAAAGGTGATGTCTAGAACCTAACACATAAAGCCATCTTCTCCACATGCCAGGGGCTTTGATCAGGAGGAGGCTGTCACTGTGCACTTCCCTCTCTAATGGTCATCAGTGGCAGCACTGTCTCTGCTATCTCCCGTAAAGAGGAGGAAACGACCTAATATGTAACAATTCTGTTAAGGCACACTTTCATCAGGTGACCAGTAGCCTGGCAAAAGTCCTGTGATAATATGTTTACAATGCATCGTTCTTTTCACCTTTCCTTGAAGCTACAGTTACATTATATGGATCATTCATGTTTATGTTTCATGTCTCTGTTGTTTGACTAGCCAAGTGGACTCAGTGGGTTCCGTGGGGCGCATGTTCAGTGACCTGCGGCAAGGGTCGCAGGATCAGGAGGAGGACCTGTGTGAGAACCTCTGTAACGGTGCAGTGCGTGGGACGAGCAGCTGAAATCCAGAAATGTGGGAAGAATCCATGCCGACGTAAGTCTTGAATCTAAAGAGAAATACACAATATGGCTGTAAAATCTGAATAATCATTCTAATCATGTGTAAAGGTATGCTGAATGTATTGTGTGTGGGTGTTATTGTGTATTTCTGTGTGTGTGTATCTGCAGCCAAGTGTAAGCGTGAGTGTCCCGAGGGCCGTCCCAGTGAGGACTGTAGCTGCTGTGTGTGTGTGGGCCACATGCTCCAGGGAGAGGTACTCAGTATGACCGGTGTCCCCGTGGTGGGGGCCAGGATAGCGCTGGCCAGCCGACCCAAGATCATCCGTGCCCGCACTGACGCCAAGGGCCTCTTCAGGCTCCCAGGGGTGTGCTCCATCTCCCCCACCCAGCTCTACATCAGGAAGGAGAAGTTCGCCCCCGCCACTGCATCCACCTCCAGCAACAGCACCGGGTTATCCTGGGCACGGGCGGTCCTAAAGTCTGCAGGTGAGATGTACTAAGTTAGTAATATCAACAAAAAGCCCAATGATAAAGTATGTTCTCTATATACTTAGTACTGCTTTGAGCCAGTCAGTCTGTCATTATAACCATCCATCTACTGTAGCCAGACTATGGGAAGGACATATAAAACTACAATATGGACCACTGGAGGAAAGTCTGAAGTAGTTGAGTCCGTTACATGCACATATACATGGAAACTAAATAAACATAAATGTAGTCACAGGGGCAGTATTTTAACCATAATCCCACACAAATATTTTTTCTGAAGTATGGAGACCAACAAGAAACTATAGGCCTGATTAAGTTTTATGGGATCATGATGCCTCGGTGGTACCATTCACAACAGTCCCAGAGCCAGGTTTTTAAGGATTTGTTTCCTACTGCTTTGCTTTGCAGAGAAGCCATACATTGTAAAGCACCCAGAGGACAAAGTGCGTTATGAGGGACAGCGTGTGATGTTATGCTGCAAGGCAACAGGGTCGCCCATGCAAGACAAATACTACTGGTATGATAATGCATTCCTTTGTTCATTTGCCAGAAAAAAATCTTACAAAAGTTTCTTGGAAGCATGACTAGATAACACATTATATTAAACAACTTACAAACATTAGATTTTCAGTATAGGTTTTTAATCGCATGTTCTTCTCCCCAGGTATCACAATGGGACCCTATTGGACAGGAACGTGTTCAAATATGAAGAGGATCTGGTGCTGAGAGACCTGAAGTCTGAGCAGACAGGACATTACTACTGTAAAGCCAGCAGCCAAACAGGAAGCATCAAGTCCTCCCAGGCATTCCTCAGCGTTATCGGTACGTATAGACCCTATCCATCAAATCCTGTACTGTACCTGTAGGAATGGATAGTATGGAAAGACACTGCAGCAAACTGAATGAGAGCGAGGGGAAAAAAACACAGAAAATCTACTGTATCTGTTACATCAAATAAATACACCCAAGAAAAATAAGATCATAAAATATCAAGGCCTCCAGAATCTGGCAGTATGTGGCGCAGTAAGGTTTTATTATGTTTACATTGGTCGAAAGCAGCCTTTTCTAAACAAAGATTATTTACATTATTTATAATGGACAGTAAAAACCAAAATCCCACTTCTCCAGAGCTCCCCTTATTGAAGTGAAATCCAAGATTGTCAATAAATCCTGTTAGTCAGACAGGTATGCGTTTCTGCATCCGTGCGGGGTAGATACACATTGTGCGTATTCCCCAGTTGCTTGTTAGCCACGAGAAAGATTGACAAAAAGGGGCTGCGGGGGAGTGTGCTAAAGCAATCAATCTACAGGAGGATATGTTCTGGCTCTGAGTCACAACAGCCTGAGAGATTTGCCCCTGTGAATAGAACAACACCTGGTTCACCAAGGCTCTGAGTGAAGAATGATTAACCTGCTTTACGCTACCAACCCAGTGTGGTTCCCTTCACTAGGGAACATTAGGCTACACACCAGTTAGTTAGTTAATAAAATATTCTATTCAATTCATTCATATTAAAAGACAGGACTACCATTTTCTTTTTGTTTCTTTTAGTTGTTGTAATTTTAATTCGTTTTTGAAAAATGCAGAGGGGCCAGGAAATTACACATTTGGTTAATCAGGCTGTTCCATCTGTCTGCAACAATCTGCTTATTTAGAGGATGGGGAATTTAACAGGAACACTGGAGCGTAAACTCAGCCATGATATCATGCACATGATTCCTTTTGCCAACATTTGGTCAACATTTGGGCGAACAATATTCCTTTCTTTCCCATTCCCATCTGGATGCTTGGTGAACAAATGTTCTCCCCAAGTTCACATCTAATTACCCCATTATGAATGTTTTGTAGTGCAACTTGGCTGATCATGGATGTCTCTCAGCAATGTGAAAAGAAATAAAGGGTGTGTGTGTGTGTGTGTTTGTGTGTCTGTGTGCGTGTTTGTGTGTGTGTGTGTGTGTGTGTTGTGTGTGTGTGTGTGTGTGTGTGTGTGTGTGTGTGTGTGTGTGTGTGTGTGTGTGTGTGTGTGTGTGTGTGTGTGTGTGTGTGTGTGTGTATAAGTAACCACCAGATACAGTGGGGAAAAAAAGTATTTAGTCAGCCACCAATTGTGCAAGTTCTCCCACTTAAAAAGATGAGAGAGGCCTGTAATTTTCATCATAGGTACACGTCGACTATGACAAACAAATTGAGAAAAAAAAATCCAGAAAGTCACATTGTAGGATTTTTTATGAATTTATTTGCAAATTATGGTGGAAAATAAAGATTTGGTCACCTACAAACAAGCAAGATTTCTGGCTCTCACAGACCTGTAACTTCTTCTTTAAGAGGCTCCTCTGTCCTCCACTCGTTACCTGTATTAATGGCACCTGTTTGAACTTGTTATCAGTATAAAAGACACCTGTCCACAACCTCAAACAGTCACACTCCAAACTCCACTATGGCCAAGACCAAAGAGCTGTCAAAGGACACCAGAAACAAAATTGTAGACCTGCACCAGGCTGGGAAGACTGAATCTGCAATAGGTAAGCAGCTTGGTTTGAAGAAATCAACTGTGGGAGCAATTATTAGGAAATGGAAGACATACAAAACCACTGATAATCTCCCTCGATCTGGGGCTCCACGCAAGATCTCACCCCGTGGGGTCAAAATGATCACAAGAACGGTGAGCAAAAATCCCAGAACCACACGGGGGGACCTAGTGAATGACCTGCAGAGAGCTGGGACCAAAGTAACAAAGCCTACCATCAGTAACACACTACGCCGCCGGGGACTCAAATACTGCAGTGCCAGACGTGTCCCCATGCTTAAGCCAGTACATGTCCTGGCCCGTCTGAAGTTTGCTAGAGTGCATTTGGATGATCCAGAAGAGGATTGGGAGAATGTCATATGGTCAGATGAAACCAAAATATAACTTTTTGGTTAAAACTCAACTCGTCGTGTTTGGAGGACAAAGAATGCTGAGGCATCCAAAGAACACCATACCTACTGTGAAGCATGGGGGTGGAAACATCATGCTTTGGGGCTGTTTTTCTGCAAAGGGACCAGGACGACTGATCCGTGTAAAGGAAAGAATGAATGGGGTCATGTATCGTGAGATTTTGAGTGAAAACCTCCTTCCATCAGCAAGGGCATTGAAGATGAAACGTGGCTGGGTCTTTCAGCATGACAATGATCCCAAACACACCGCCCGGGCAACGAAGGAGTGGCTTCGTAAGAAGCATTTCAAGGTCCTGGAGTGGCCTAGCCAGTCTCCAGATCTCAACCCCATAGAAAATCTTTGGAGGGAGTTGAAAGTCCATGTTGTCCAGCGACAGCCCCAAAACATCACTGCTCTAGAGGAGATCTGCATGGAGGAATGGGCCAAAATACCAGCAACAGTGTGTGAAAACCTTGTGAAGACTTACAGAAAACGTTTGACCTGTGTCATTGCCAACAAAGGGTATATAACAAAGTATTGAGAAACTTTTGTTATTGACCAAATACTTATTTTCCTCCTACAATGTGATTTTCTGGAGAAAAAAATTCTCATTTTGTCTGTCATAGTTGACGTGTACCTATGATGAAAATTACAGGCCTCTCTCATCTTTTTAAGTGGGAGAACTTGCACAATTGGTGGCTGACTAAATACTTTTTTCCCCACTGTACATGTAAGAAAAATTGTACAATTTTTCCAACAATAATTACACACAAATGCATACTAATTACACACAATTATACTAATGCTACTTATGAAAACGGAATTATAGGTAATTAAACATCAATTTGGTTGGTTAATGGGAAGTGTGACAGAGTGGGCCATTTGCATCTGTAATTTTGTATGAGTGAATGACTATACAAAACATTAAGAACTGCTCTTTCCATGACATAGACTGACCAGGTGAATCCAGGTGAAAGATATGATCCCTTATTGATGTCACTTGTTAAATCCACTCCAATCAGTGTAGATTAAGGGGAGGAGACAGGTTAAAGAAGGATCTTTAAGCCTTGAGACAATTGAGACATGGATTGTGTATGTGTGCCACTCAGAGGGTGAATTGGCAAAACAAAAATGTAAGTGCCTTTGAACGGGGTATGTTAGTAGGTGCCATGCGCACCAGTTTGTGTCAAGAACTGCAATGCTGCTGGGTTTTTCACGCTCAACAGTTTCCTGTGTGTATCAAGAATGGTCCACCACCCAAAGGACATCAAGCCAACTTGACACAACTGTGGGAAGCATTGGAGTCAACATGGGCCAGCATCCCTGTGGAACGCTTTCGACACCTTGTAGAATCCATTGAGGTTGTTCTGAGGGTAAAAGGGGGGATGCAACTCAATATTAGGAAGGTGTTCCTAATTTTTGGTATACTCAGTGCATAATGTGCATACATTATGCATGTGTGTGTTTACATCCATAAAACATGAGTGCAATATCATAGCTAACTCTATGCACTGTGTATTCCACAGCTAAAGGCACGCTGGCATGCAACCCCACACCTGAGAACCACCTCATTAGGCTGCCTGTGGACTGTGTTCAGCCTGGGACTGACTCTAAGCTCTACAACGCCGGCCGCTGCCCCCACAACAAGTGTGCAGGCTCCCTGGACTTCGACCTGCGCTGCAGGGATGGAGGTGGCTATTGCTGCGGGGTCCAGAAGATGGAGAGCCGGGTGATCGACTGTGGGAGCTACAGCCTGCCCATCAAAGCTGTGACTGAGTGTGGATGCCAGAAGTGTGTGGTGCCCAAGGTGCTTGTACGTGGCAGGGTGGTCACAGCTGACAATGATGAACCACTGCGTTTCGGGCACATGTACATTGGCAAGGAGAGAGTGGGCACCACAGGGTACAAAGGAGGCTTCACGCTCAATATAACCCCAGACACAGAGAGGCTGGTGGTCAACTTTGTGGATCCCACAGAAAAATTCATTGACACTCCTAAGGTGTTTATCTTTGACAAGAGAGGGGGCTCTGTTTACCATGACGTGAAGGTGATGAGAAAGCAGGAACCCATTGATATCAATGCTGGAGAGACAAATACCATTGACTTAGGAGAAATCAAAGGAGAGGACCCCATTGGACAGATTGTCATACCTCCAAATTCTTTCCACAAAAACAATGGGGAGGTGTACGAAGGTACGGTGAAAGCCAGTGTCACCTTCATTGACCCCAGGAACATCACCACAGCTGCTGCAGCGCCTGGTGATCTCAACTTTGTGGACGATGAGGGTGACATGCTTCCACTGAGGACATATGGGATGTTTTCCGTTGACTTCAGAGATGAAACGAACCAGGAATTCCTGGGGGCTGGAGCAGTCCAAGTACTCCTAGACACGCAGCACGTCAAAATGCAAGAGCACATTCCCAAAATGAAACTGTGGTCCCTCAACCCAGACACAGGTGTCTGGGAGGAGGAGAGTGACTTTCACTACACTCAGACCACATCTGGTGGTAATGGACGGAGCAAGCGAGAGGAGCGCACTTTCCTCATAGGTAATATGGAAATCAGGGAGCGTCGACTTTTCAACCTGGATGTGCCTGAGAACCGCCGCTGCTACGTCAAAGTGAGGGCGTACATGAGTGACAAATTCCTGGCCACTGAGCAGTTGGAAGGTGTGGTCATCAGCCTGATAAACCTGGAGCCCAAGCCTGGATTTTCCTCTAACCCCAGAGCATGGGGTCGCTTTGACAGTGTGATAACCGGACCCAACGGAGCCTGCCTGCCAGCTTTCTGTGATGCTCAGGTGCCTGATGCTTACACAGCTTACGTCACAGGCATTATGGGTGGTGAAGAACTGGAAGCAGCTCCCTCAACTCCCAAGATGAACCCAAACATCATTGGAGTGTCTCAGCCATACTTAGACAAGATAGACTACCAGCGTTCAGACCACGATGATCCAGCTCTCAAGAAAACAGCCTTCAGAATCAACTTGGCAAAACCCAACCCCAATAATTTGGAAGAGACCAACGGGCCAATATACCCCTATCAGAGTTTAATAGCCTGTGAAAATGCTGAAATCAATGCCAACCATTTCCGATTCTTCCGAGTGGAAAAGGACAAATACGAATATAACGTTGTGCCCTTTCAAGAGAACGACTTAACATCGTGGACAGGTGACTACCTCTCTTGGTGGCCCAACCCTCAGGAGTTCAGGGCTTGCTTCATCAAGGTCAAGATCCAGGGGCAAAGGGAGGTCATGATAAGGTCACAGAACCATGGAGGCACACACCCTGAGACTGTAGGCCAGCTGTACGGCATCAGAGACATCCGCAGCACCCGTGACATGCACGTGACCAACATCTCCGCAGCTTGCCTCGAGTTCAAGTGCAGTGGCATGCTCTTCGACCAAGCCGCAGTCGATAGGTCCCTCGTATCAGTCCTCCCACAGGGCAACTGTCGGAGAGTGGGCATCAACAGCCTCTTAAAGGAGTACCTGACCAAGCACCCCCCTACCTCACCGAACAACGAGTCACATGCCTTCAACATTCTGGCCCCCGTCGACCCCTTGGGGCACAACTATGGGATCTACACAGTCACGGACCAGAACCCAAGGGTGGCAAAGGAGATCGCCATTGGACGCTGTTTTGATGGTACCTCTGACGGCTTCTCTAGAGAGATGAAATCAGACACTGGAGTTGCTCTGACCTTCAGCTGCCCAGAAAGGACTGTGCCCAGGGAGAGTCTCTTCCAACGCCTCCAGACGAACCCCAGCCAGACCCTGTCTCAGATGGCCCGGGACATGAGGGAAGCGCAGGGGCTGCAGGTCAGAGGAAGGTCCTCCCGGGTAGTGACCTACCCCTCTGGGTCCACTAGCCGCAGATCCAGCTCCTCTACCAGGAGGAGATCTACGATGCGGACACAGGACAGGCAGTAGATCTGCCGTTTGGTGAGTTACAAGTTTTCGTTGAGCCACAGAGTGAAAACAAAAGTAGCATTTTTGGTGTGTGTAAAGTTTTCCACTTTCTGGACTTGCATCCTAATAACTTTTAATTTACTCCTAGGTCTTTGGGTTAGAAATCAATCAGATGACGTCCTCTCACAAACAAAATAAGGAAATGTCAAGTTGGGTCAGCCTGGTGATGTTGGATGTGAACTTTCTCTGAACACAGTATGGTAATCTATTGAAACAGTCACCACTCCAGCAAAACCACACGGAGGAGAGAAAAAATAAGACCTTTTTTTTCTCTAAAACTTACTTGAAGGGTTTGGCAATACATATCAGTATTAATTGTATTCCTTGAGAAGAAGTACATTTCTTTAGCTTTCATCAGTCCAGTAAAGCAAAGGATATTTATTTAATTGGCGTTAATAGGAAGGAAACCAATTTCCAAGAAATATTTGGATTTGTAGCATTCCACATTAACCATTGTTAACCAACCGTCTTTTCCGATGTCTCTGATCGCTTGAGATATAACCAACTGCAACTGTAAAAGCCAGTCTAAATGCTAAACACTTCATAATTGGTCAACGCTTTCCATTGCACTCATGAGTCCCTCAAGATCAAAGGAACATGAGTCCTAGTGATCTAGTCTGTTTGTAACAGACAGTCGGCCCCTTTTCTAGAAACCGGGAAGTCTTCTCTGCCAAAAATAGGCATTATTTAAGAGGACGCAGCGGGGTGCAAGGAGTTATCGCGTTCGTGGAACAGAGGACGCTTCTTAGTACGCTTGTTTCTAGCTTTTTTCTCTCCAAATAAGCATGTCACATTGCCAACTGAGATCCAGAAAAACTTTTCTCTAACCTAACTAGAAAATGCACCAGGGTCCCAGCCAACACAAGCATCCCTAAACAAAACGGATCTTAGCAGTAGACTAAACAGAGCCTGCGGTAGGGGACCTGGGAGAGAGAGGAGATTGTGAGGGATGACACAATTCCCTTCAGTCCTCAGTTCCCACGAAGTCCCCAAGTACTCATCCAACACACCTCTCTGTCTGTTCTTCAATATCCCTCCAACATTACTGTCAGGAATGTAAAAAACGAAAACAAATCAACATCAGAGATGAAAACCCTATTTATACATTGCAGATAATTAGCTAGGCTAATTCTGAGACTAAATTGACTGTGTTGTTATTAGGTGTGGGAGTGTCTGTCTTTGTCTCATTAAGGCAATAGCTATGTTCTATTTTGACTTGAGAGCCCTTGAAAATCATCACGTGAAAAGCCAATTATATACTGCACTAGGTACTGCTGGTAAATACGGTAAATCCTTCAGTAAGTTTGGCTATGGTACAGTGGGGAAAAAAGTATTTAGTCAGCCACCAATTGTGCAAGTTCTCCCACTTAAAAGGATGAGAGAGGCCTGTAATTTTCATCATAGGTACACGTCAACTATGACAGACAAAATGAGAAAAAAAAATCCAGAAAATCACATTGTAGGATTTTTAATGAATTTATTTGCAAATTATGGTGGAAAATAAGTATTTGGTCAATAACAAAAGTTTCTCAATACTTTGTTATATACCCTTTGTTGGCAATGACACAGGTCAAACGTTTTCTGTAAGTTTCTCCTCTAGAGCAGTGATGTTTTGGGGCTGTCGCTGGGCAACACGGACTTTCAACTCCCTCCAAAGATTTTCTATGGGGTTGAGATCTGGAGACTGGCTAGGCCACTCCAGGACCTTGAAATGCTTCTTACGAAGCCACTCCTTCGTTGCCCGGGCGGTGTGTTTGGGATCATTGTCATGCTGAAAGACCCAGCCACGTTTCATCTTCAATGCCCTTGCTGATGGAAGGAGGTTTTCACTCAAAATCTCACGATACATGGCCCCATTCATTCTTTCCTTTACACGGATCAGTCGTCCAGGTCCCTTTGCAGAAAAACAGCCCCAAAGCATGATGTTTCCACCCCCATGCTTCACAGTAGGTATGGTGTTCTTTGGATGCAACTCAGCATTCTTTGTCCTCCAAACACGACGAGTTGAGTTTTTATCAAAAAGTTCTATTTTGGTTTCATCTGACCATATGACATTCTCCCAATCCTCTTCTGGATCATCCAAATGCACTCTAGCAAACTTCAGACGGGCCTGGACATGTACTGGCTTAAGCAGGGGGAAACGTCTGGCACTGCAGGATTTGAGTCCCTGGCGGCGTAGTGTGTTACTGATGGTAGGCTTTGTTACTTTGGTCCCAGCTCTCTGCAGGTCATTCACTAGGTCCCCCCGTGTGGTTCTGGGATTTTTGCTCACCGTTCTTGTGATCATTTTGACCCCACGGGGTGAGATCTTGCGTGGAGCCCCAGATCGAGGGAGATTATCAGTGGTCTTGTATGTCTTCCATTTCCTAATAATTGCTCCCACAGTTGATTTCTTCAAACCAAGCTGCTTACCTATTGCAGATTCAGTCTTCCCAGCCTGGTGCAGGTCTACAATTTTGTTTCTGGTGTCCTTTGACAGCTCTTTGGTCTTGGCCATAGTGGAGTTTGGAGTGTGACTGTTTGAGGTTGTGGACAGGTGTCTTTTATACTGATAACAAGTTCAAACAGGTGCCATTAATACAGGTAACGAGTGGAGGACAGAGGAGCCTCTTAAAGAAGAAGTTACAGGTCTGTGAGAGCCAGAAATCTTGCTTGTTTGTAGGTGACCAAATACTTATTTTTCCACCATAATTTGGAAATAACATTTTTTAACTTGAAGAGGCTATGAGGGAGGTTGAAAGACAGAGCAAGTCTAATTGCCAATGTTACGTAACACATCGCGTGAGAAAAATAGTAAGGACTATCCAAACAGTCTCTGTCTCTTTCAGGGGACTTCAAAGAATATCTGTAAGATCTGTAAGATCTGTAAGAGTGAGTTGAAAATAATGTTGGAAGTTTCCTGATTCATTAGTATTAAGAGGAGAGAGGAATGAAATACAGTTTTCCCATTCAAATTTAGAAACTTGTCAATTTTGTGGAAGAAAAACGTCGAACAGACAACAGATTGCAAAGATTGCTTTTTAATAAAGAATAAATAGTCAAATGACATGATCCCCTCGATTCCAGACACAGTTTCAGGTTCTATCAATTCCCAGACAGGTTCATGCTTCACAATTCACATAAGTGATTAAATGACAATTAAAAAAACGTAACAATTTACATTTTCACCTGGTTTTCGGCACTTCTGCAGTCTCGTATTCCTACTCATCCTGTAGAATGTTGAGGTACTAGAGCTTGTAGACTATACAGCCATGCCTTGGCTTCAGGTTGATTTCTGAGTGTGCCTGTGCCATCAGCATGATGAGTGCATGCATCTGTCATCTCCTGTACTGTCTGGCTGCTCTCAGGGAGACTGTAATTTATTCAGGAATATCCTCTGGCGAGGCAAGTGTTGGATCTTTCCATATTGTCTGATCTATAAAGAGAGACTTGTATGGTTGCCACTGTGGTCTGGAAGATGTCTTGGGCCCCCATAAACACATTATATAAATCAATTTCTGAGAATTCTCTGTAAATCATTATGTAACATGTATTGCATGGCGTTGCCCACTTGTTTTTCTTTTTCATGTGTAAATTGTGTATTGTATGGAAGTTACTAAATGTATAAGGAATTGTAAATAAACCTTTGCTGTAAACTTTTCCGGTGATATTATGTCCTGATTTGATATATTTCATATGTGTGTATTCAATGATAGTTCTGGAAACTCTGAAATATGCAAATGTGATCATTATTTTATTTCCAAAAACGTAATTGTCAAAAGGACATATTCCATTGACGTGAGGTATCGTGAGAATGACATTGAAATAAAACCCACAAGATTAAGGGATAACTGGGTTTGCATAATTCATAACATCAACATCAATGACACAAAACACAACAGCAATAACAATGAAAATCAAATGGTAAGAAAAACCACAGAAGTGGCTTGGTGTCAGGCATCAACAGTAGCAAAAAACACAAAATAACAAAAATAGAGCTTTGCATATGAGAGACAAACATTAGTTAATAGCCTACATTGCAAAGTTCTGACATCAGCGATGGGTCCCCTAATGGCTAAGGACAACCTGTGAATGTAATCCAATACAATAAACAACAGATTATTCAGAAACGTCTGGATCCACAAAATGTGAAAACCACTCTTGGACCGTACATGCCGGACCCAGTAAAAAGTGATTGTTCTACCAAACACACAATGGCTGCATCTCAATTGTCAGTGAATATTACCCCTCAGGTGATGAATCATTAAACACAAGGCACATGTCCTGTCCTCACAGCACTCAACGCCAATGGAAATATTATCGTAATAAAGTCCCACAAGGAGGCTGTGAGGAGGGAAAACTAGAATGGCAAGCCACACTTTCACTGACACCATTTTGGCAAACGCTTTAATGTCAGAGTGAGAACATGTAGTGGATAGAAGATGTAGTGAATGTTGTTGCCAGTGTAGAAGAAGAAGATGTAGTGAATGTTGTTGCCAGTGTAGAAGAAGATGCAGTGAATGCTGTTGCCAGTGTCGAAGAAGAAGATGTAGTGAATGTTGTTGTAGAAGAAGAAAATGTAGTGAAAGTTGTTGTAGAACAAGATGTAGTGAATGTTGTTGTAGAAGAAGATGCATAAAAAAAGACAAGTAGCTACAATAACACATTTATCTTGACCGAATAGTGCATTTCAGGTCCTGAGTCGCTGACGTCAGTTTACCAGTCTTTCCTTTGCCATTGTGTCAGTAAGGGAAGAACATGTCTGTGCATCGGTCAAAGGGGAAATGCTGACAAGGCTTTAATAAATACTTATTACTGGACCATAACCAGTAATTACAATACCCTTCATGTGTGTTCTCTTGGATCTCATCTAGGTACTAAAAATGGCAGACACCAGTTGAAGTGGGGGTCATATAGCTGGGCTGGTGTTTCTGTTCCCTCTCTGTGGTACAGCAGGGACCTCATTTCATTTAAAACCTCAC